AGCAACCGGCGGGCAGCTGGTAGGAGCAGCTGCAGACGGCCAGCGGTGTGGCTAGCAGGAACGACTGGGGGGTGGCTGGTAGGAGCGGTTGCAGGCGGCCAGCGGAGCAGCTGGTGAGAATGGTGGGCAGGCGGTAGGAGTGGTGGCAGGTGGCTCAAGCAGACCATAGGAGCAGCACAAAGGTGGCATGGCCTCAGGCTCAATGAGTGGAGTCATCAGGGTGATGTGACAGAGTCCGCAGTGACTGGACAGTGGGAAAGTGGGGCATGGAGAAAGTTTGGTTAAATGAATGGAATCCTTACATTGTTGGACTAGTGAGCCTGAGGGGAAAAGGACATTGCTAAATGCATTTGAGCTGGGACGGTTACTCGTGGGGGGGTTAGGAACTATGTTTGTGATATTTTTCTGAGCTAATGCCATGTAACTTCTCTCCCTCTTTCATTAAAAGTTTATTTTCTACACTCAGAGTCTGTGCTTGTGAGTGGGGAAGCATTGCCTCTCAAAGGTGCCCGGGGTGTGTGAATTTCCCAGGCTACTGGGTTGGGGCTCGAGCCGGTTCTATATGAGATGGATGAAAAGGAACCCCTTGATATTGCAGCCAGGGCCGGGTTCTGCTGGGATCTTTTTAGGATAGTAAGCAAACTATAAATTCAGCATCTGTCATCTGTAGATTTCAAAGTGCTTTACAAATTTTAATTAATTAAGCCCTACCAGACTGCTGTGAAATGGGAGAGAATAATATTCATTTAACAATTAGGCCCAGAAGTATGGTTTGCCCATCTTCTGAAGAGAGTCTCACCAATAATGTTCCAGTAATAAGCCACACTATACAAACCTATAATGCATCTGCTGCGCTCACAGAGAGTCCCTACAACATATGGGACAAAGTCTTCAGTGGGAGCAGGAGTAGAGTAAGCAGTTCTAGGCTTCAGAGAAAGCTAATTCATGTGGAAGGTAGTTTCAGAGCTGGAGACCGTTTCAGAGCAGTTAGGAGAAAAGTTGGAGGTATGGTGGCAGCTGGAAAGGTACATTCTCAGCCTTGTGGAAGATGGGGGAGAGGAGGAGGAAAGCAATGACCCCTGTCACTTAATCTGAACACCAGCTACCACTGGCACTGAATCATTATGGGTAAAACATTTAAAAATGCTGAAGTGATTTAGGATTTAAGGTCCCATTTTCAGAAATAACTTACACATTGTCTATACAATAAAATGTTTGCTGGCGTAGCTGTACTGGCAAATTCTCCTAGAAGAGATGAAGTTTCTATAGTAAAGACAAAGGGTATGTCTACACTGCAGTGTTTTTCCGGAAAAAACGGCCGTTTTTCTGGAAAAACAATACTTGCGTCCACACTGCTATTGAGTTATTTCAACAAAAAGTGGAAAGAACAGAGGGTTTTTTCCAACGGCGCTAAACCTCTTTCTGCAAAGTAGAAGCCTTTTTCCGAAAAAGCTTTTTTGGAAAAAGACGTGCGTGGATGCGGAAGAGGGAGTTCTGTTGAAAAAAGAGGCATTCAGGGAATAACACAGGTGCCTTGGTGACCACTCCATCCAAACTAATCAGAACTCTGTAGTTCCTGTTTCCTGCCAGCTCTTAAAGCTGCAGTCACCCAGGGCAAGCCTTGTGGCAGGAAGCCGGCCCAGAGAGCTGCACCTCATCACGCAGCTCTGACTGCCACCACGCGGCTCTGACTGCCACCCATGGTCCAGCCACAAGCCCCCTGAGACTCCTCTGGTCCTCACAGGAAGCACGACCAGGGCTCCCAGGACCTAGCCAGGGACACAAAACAGCATGTGTCATCGTGGTCCGAGGAGGAGACCCTGCAGGATCTCCGCTCCCGGTGATGCAACGCTGATATCTATGGCTGGATGGCCGAGGTTCTGGCCACCCCCAGAACTTGGAACAAGTTAGGAATAAGGTCAAGGAGCTCTGCCAGGGCTACATCAGGGCAAAGGAGCGCAGCTCTTGCTTCAGGGCAGGATCCCACTCTGCCCCTACTACCACGAGCTCCACTGAATCCTGGGTGGTGGTGCAGCCTCTTCCCCACCTGTGGTGGTGGACTGGGGCTAGAGACATCCATCGTCACCTGCCTGGGGATCCCTGGCGAGAATGAGGAGGACAAGGATGAGCTGCAGGAGGAGGAGGAGATGGCCAGCATGGTCACCCTCGCCCTGGATCCAGTACCCCAGGCCCTGGATATCTCCCAGGCATCCTCTGAGGGTGGGGAGGAATCATCGGTGAGTGCTGTCAGTTTTTCACACACACAAGGCAGGGGAGGCGGGCGCAGAGGGGTTGGGGTTCAATTGTCTCTTGGCCTGGACATTGTGCGGCACTCTGTGCATGTGGAAGCACATGCAGCACTAATCTGTGCCACACGGCCTCAGGAGGCAGTCCCGGAGCACCCCAGGGCTCCTGCTCACAGGCTCTGGGGAGGACACACACATGTCTGACCCCTTGGGGGGATGCCACCAGCCACGGCTGCAAGCAGGCTGGGCACAAGGGCTCTGCGCACACAGAGCAAGGAGTGCCGCATATAGGCATGCCTGCACACACGAGGCACCACCTCCTCCCGCGGACAGCACTGCCAGGTGCAGGTGTGTGTGCAGCTCCCATGGAAGGCCAGGCTGTTCCAGGACCCTCTCCCGTCCATGGGATCCCACTGTGGCTGGACACTTCCCTTGCCTGCTTGTCCATGAGACAGGTGGGAGCAGGAAGCAAGGTCCTCTGGACACCTCGGGGCCCCTCTGAGGCAGGGCCTGCTGTGCAGGCCACACATGGCCTTGCTCCTGGGACATCCCTGGCCTCTGGCCTGAGGACTGTTGCTCGCAGCTCACAGAGTGAGGTCTTCAGGGACAGTGTCTGCATGGATGACAGACCGTCTCTCCCTCTTTATGCTCCACAGCTGGACCAGCTGTTGCTGAGGGGCAGTCACTGCTAGCTGAGGCAGCCGCTTGACCTCGGGGCAGACACAAGCACAGGAGGGTCCAGGAGGACCTCATGAGACAGCATGTGACTGTCCTCTGCAACATGCAACAAACCCTGTCACAGAAGATCCGAGATGACGCCCAGCAGGGTAAAAACATGTAAGTCACCATCCGTGAAATGATGATACACCTGGCTCTTGTCCCTGCTCCTGCCCCCCCCATGCCTATTCCTCCTACCCCCCTCCTGCCCACTCCCTGTTGTCCCATGCCCTTTTAGCTGCACCATGTGCCCCAGCTCGAGCCCCACTCCTCCGTACCCAGGTTCTTAGCCACTCTCCTCCCCAGTTACTTTTATTATGAAAATACAGTGTTCAACACAAAACTGGTGTCTTTATTGACCGTACAGGGAAGGGGAGAAGGGAGGGTTTGTGGTGGGAAACGCATAGGAGGGCAAGCCACAGGGCCCTAGTGGGGAGGCCCTGGAGAGAGTTACTGGGGTCCTTGAGAGAAACTCTCCCTCAGGGCCTCCTGGATGCATACCCCCACCTGATGGGCTTGGTGGATGTCAGCTGTGCGTGGCTGCTCGAAGGCCCTTGCTTCCTGGCCGGCCTCTGCTCTCCACCCTGGTAAGAAGGCCTCCCCCTTCCTGTTCACAATGTTGTGAAGAACACAATACGCAGCGATCACCTCGGAGATGTTGTGCCCTCTCCCCCACATCGAGGCGGGTCAGAAGGCACCTGAACCACGCCTTCAGGCACCCACCGGCGCATTCCACCTGGATCCGAGCCCTGTTTTGGAAGGCATTGAATTGGTCCCTGATGGGGTCCAGGTGTCAGGTGTAGGGCTTCATGAGCCATGTCTTGAGTGGGTAGGCTGCCTCCCCCACAATGCACAGTGGCATCTCCATATCCCAAACCTGAAAGTCATGCTGGGGCAAGAATGTGCCAGCCTCCAGCTTGTGGTAGAGACTAGAATTTCAGAAAATGCGGCCGTTGTGTGCCCTGCCCGACCACCCAACAAAAATATCCATGAATTGTCCATGGTAGTTGACCAGTGCCTGCTG